CTACGCGTACGCGCGGACATCGGTATTTGGCAAGATTTTTCGAAAGAAACCGATTTATATCGAATAGGCAACCTCGGTACGGGAAGTTTTTGATTTTACGACCGCGTAAATTCCAAACGGTACTCCAGACTTCGTTCTCCGCTCTCATTTCTCTTCGGTTTTCCAAGCTTCTCGCTTAACGCCGTGAAAATTCTATTCATCCTGGCGGAGAACTTGGTGGAATTTCATCGAGCGAGGGCCTCGGCGAATTCCAACACCGCGCCCTTGACGATTCACCCTTAACCCTGAATCCTCCCTCGAATCCCGATTTTAAGTATATCGGAATAATATTCGGGCAACAGTCTGGTTATTCGATGATATTACGATCTCTCGTTTAATAAATTTTCATTCCAATTTTTCATACTTTACAAATATCGTTCTCTTCTTTCAAATCATTTCAAATTGATCTAAATTTATCCCTTCTTTCGATCTTCGATTATTTCGTCGATCATTTAATCGTATAAAATTTTCATTTCTCCCTTCATCTCTGATGAATTTCGTTCATCTCGCTCGTTAATCGTCTTATCAAATCCTCCTCGAACTGATTCGAGTCCTTTGGATCCATCTCTATCTTCGGATCCACGGTTCTACGCGTGAGTAAGAAAAGAAAAATCAAAACGGGTGGCAGTTTATCCGAAAAGAAATCAAGATAACGATCGGGTATAATCGCAAAGGTGATCGACGGGTCGGTCGTATCGGCGGGGCGAGATTGAAGGCTCGGCTAACGAGTTGTTTATGGATCCACCCACCGCCTCACGGCGATCTCTCGATCGTTGTGTGCGTGTATCCTGTATCTACGTGGACAAACGTGGTGGAGTGGACCGTATGAGCGGATAGGGGTAGTCCATTAACGGGGCTCTCCGCCAGGATAGTTCGCATTGCTGGCATCTTCCACCTCCCTTCCTCCTCTCCTCCGCCTCTGTATTATCCTCTGTCTTCGTCTCGTTCACCAAATTCTTCCTCCGCCTCCTCTCCTTCTTTTTTTTCTTCCTTTTTTTTCCTTCTCCAACTATCCGATCGAACGTCTCTCTCTCTCTCTCTCTCTCTCTCTCTTTCCTCCCTTCTGGCTAAAATCATTCCCTCTTTCTCTTTCCACCTCTCTTTCTCCATTGGACGGGCTCTTTCTCGTTCTCCACCACCCTCGTTTGATCTCTCTTTCTCGTTCTTTCACGATCCACCGCCGGGTTATCCCCCGGTAGTCATGGTAACACGGGGGTTGGAGCCGCCCCCGGCCGCCAATCAGAACTCGCGGCCACCACGAAGAGAAACGAACCTTCCACCTACCCCCTCGTCGTTATCCACCGCCTGTTCACCGCCTGCCCCCACTCTGCGCACGGTTAACCGAGAGACCCGGCTGCACCCCCGCACCACCCTGTCTGCCGCGATCTCTTCCCTCTGCCTCGCCGCCGGGGAGGCTGAGATTCTCGCTTGGGAGGAAATCTTGACCGGGCGTGCCCCGCATCCGTGATACCACCCTCCTCCTCCTCCTCCCTCTCCCACTCCCCCTCGCCGAGGAACACCTCCACAATTTCTCCAGGAATATCTGGAGACGGCCTTCGTCCCGTCGTTCTCTACTACTACTACTACTATTATTACTACTACTAGTGTCCAGTCTACTGGCCGGCCAAGGATGCCCGGCTGCAAGGATCAGAGTCTCTGTCGTGGAAGAATTAACGCCCCCAGAGTTTCGTTCGGGTCGAAGGAAAGCGCGGGTCGGAGAGAAGAATGGACGCACGCTTGGTGCCGTCGAAAAGATCTCTCGAGTTGCATGTGCTGTGGATATTATATAGATCATCGTACGACAGTGTATGACGGAGGAAGGGAGGGGGGGAGTATAAGTTAAGTTTGTACTTAAGGATTTTATAGCGATTGTTTAGCGATTTGATACTGGATGGATTAGTTTTGAATGAATATCTCTCTCGTAGAGAGTAAAAGGAGATGCAACTCGAAGATAAAAAGGTGTTTTCAGTGATTTGGTAGTATTTGGTAATTTGTATTCGAAAATATTACAGGGGGTGAATCGTTCTTTTTCTAATTTTTTCGAAATTTGTGGTTTCAGGCGAGAAACCGCACAAGTGCCAAGTATGCGGCAAGGCGTTCTCTCAGAGCAGTAATCTGATCACGCATTCGAGGAAGCACACGGGCTTCAAACCGTTCGCCTGCGAGCTTTGCGGCCGGGCATTCCAGCGGAAGGTCGACCTGAGAAGGCATCGGGAGACCCAGCACGCCGATCTGAACACGTCTCAAAGGCCGTCGATCGGCTCGATCCCCGGTCAAAACTCTTTGCCTAACGGCAATCCGCCGATGATGCAATGAATAATTCTCAAACGATAATCGAACGGACTGTGAAACTTTTTATCCTCTGGGAGGAAACAGGTTGATAACAGGTTAATCGAATTCTTCTCCAAATGGTGCAATCGAGGGGAATCTTCGACGAAACGTTTTTTTATTTTTTTCCTTCGCCGTCGAAGTAAAAGAAAACAAAAACACTTTTTACATTTTAAGGGAGTACGCACATTGAACTTGTACATTTAACCGACTATTTATTATTTAATAATTCGAAATGTCGTTTTTTTTTTTTTTTTTCTTTTATTCTTCGAGTGCAATGTGTTTCGAGGATTTCATCGTGGATATATTAGAATTCGTGGAATTGGAATTCAACCGTGCATTCCGATACGTTATTCCGGGACCGTGGTTGGACACGAACGTGTGTGCAAAGTGATATAACGCGCATTATTGTTACCAAAGCTGTACATTCCGTACCGTGGCTCGAACAAGAAAGTATTGTTGTAAGAGACAGGATTTTTTTTTTTTTTTCTAAACGAAAAACACGATTACTCGAATCGTTTTTAAACTCAGATTCTCTATCGAGATGAAGGTGGTCCGGAAAAAATCCAGTGAGATTATTTCTTTGTTTCCAGTTACTCGCTACACTCCGTGTTGAATCGTTCAGTATTGAGATAATCGTTCACTCTACTTCTCTTATTACGTAGACATTTACTACACGGCGTTCGTTGCGGCAATTAAACGAGTTTTATTCGATTAACAGTTTAATTTCTATTTCGAATATTTCTTTAGGATTTAGCATACAATACAGAGTAAATCGCTTGACAACTGTGTGCACTTTAATTATTTTAATCCTTTATATATATATATATATAATTTTACGATAACACAATTTTTTTACAGCGTAACACAATTCACAGCGTTACATTGACGGAACGAAATTTTGTTCGATACCAATGAAACGATCAAAACAATTCTCGTTCAGCGGTTCATATTGTTCACGCACATTGTAAAAATAAGATGAGATTTGTTTGAATAAAAAAATGTTCATCCTTCTCGTTTAATCGTCGACAATAGACAACGTATAAGAAAGTACGAGCAGCGTACTGTATTTTGCATATCTTCAGCACCTATCGTTCAAGAAAGGGCATCACCCACTCCAAAGTTGCAAACTGTGACCAAAAAAGATGAACTTGTAAATAGCACATAGATCGTATCTCGCCTAGCCTAAGCGTATAAATATATATAGATATTATAAATACGAGTATAAATAAGAAGAAGAAGAAAAAAAAAAAAGAAAAAGAAATGAAAAGAAAGGAAGAGCACAAACGAATCGAGGCTATAAATATTATAAATACGAAAAATACGAAAAATGGAAACCGATTTATTCCGATCGAGAAGAGGGATGAAACATCCCTTTATACAGGGAGTCTCGCCGAGAAAATAATCGTATTCTTTCTCTCTTCTTCCCGCTATTGAAGTTTTTATTGTTGTACCATTCCTATCATTATGTAATTATTGTAATTAGAGAACTCGCTATTAATATTATTGCAATTATTATTATTATTATTATTATTATTATTATTATTATTATTATGATTATGATTATTATTATTATTATTATTATTATTATTATTATTATTATTATTAACAATAAATGCTGTTACCATTTGTAACTTTTTCTCAGTGACACGATTAATCCCTCTCTTTCTCTCTTTCTCAGATCGATCGAAGCGAAACTTTCATCAAGTTTATATTTCATCGTTATTCTTCGAATAAAAAAAGGAAGATTTATCTCAAATCCTCAAACACTTTTCTTCTTTCTTCCCCGTTAAATTTTTCCACATTTTAAACTCATCGAAATTTACTCATTTATTTATTTATTTATTTTTTTTTTTTAGAATAATAAAAACGAGTGATATACGACGAGAATCGTCGACGGTACGATTAATTCGATCAATAATTCGTGACAACGAAGAGGAGAATGATGAAAATCCGTCGAACCGTCGATTAATCATTGACCAAGGAATCTGGCTGCCTCGCATCTCGCCCGTTTCAACGCGATCCAGGGTTGTAATTCAGGGTTAAACGGCCGTGCCAATTAGGCGAACTACCCCTTAACGGCGAACCCCTTAACGGCCCAATATGTTTTCCGTCGAGTTTCGTCCGTCGAATTTCCCTCCCCTTCTCTCCTCCTGCTTCCCTCTTCAATCCTCTTTCCGTACCATCATCTCCCTCCGTTATTTCGCAACCCTGAAAAACGGGTAACAAGAGAGAGGGTGTGCCTTTTCGGACGTGAGATTTTCCCGAAATTCCCTCGTTTTCGAGGGGCCCCTTTCCCCTTTTCGCGATATAGTATTCACGGATAGAAGAAGAAGAAGAAGAAGAAGGAAGAGGAGGAGGAGGAGAAGGAGGAGGAGGAGGAGGAGAAGGAGGAGGAAAAACGAACGCGCGGGAGGAAGGAGAGAAATACCGAACCGGACGAGGGATGGGGAGGGGGTGGGTTGAAAGGGGTGGCGGGTGAAAGGAGAGCGTTACAGCAGTGACTGCGCGACACCATGACGCAGCCACGGGGGCAGATTGGACAGTTATTGCATTCTGGGTAAGATTAATTGATATGGGGACTCGCGGGGGTGGCTGGGACACGCCACCCGCTTAAATCGTGTCTCAGAAACGGGGATGAGAGAGAGCGGTGATTAACCGATTGCAACCGTGAACCGAAAGCCATACCTTCCCCTCTCTCGCCCGTCTCTGTCTACAACCGTTTCATCCCCGCTTTAATAGCCATTGAGTAATAGAGAGCCCTCTCATTATTAAATAGCGCTAGATGCTGGCCCGTGGGCGCATTCGTTCGGCTGTTCCCGTAATGACGTGATTACCGGGAGCACCGTATCGTCGGCCAGATTTATGAAGCCTGTTCATTTCCTCCACGGACAGATAGGAATCTTCCTCCTCCTCTCCTCTCTCTCTCTCTCTCTCTCTCTCTCTCTCTCTCTCT